TTTTTTTTTTTTTTTTTTTTTTTTTTTTTTTTTTTTTTTTTTTTTTTTTTTTTTGAATTAAGGTGATGTTTTTGGTTGTTATGTAGATGTGGCCTTCTTTGATAGCCAAAGCAAAGGCAGGTGGACTAGACGTGATAGAAACTTACGTGTTCTGGAACATTCACGAACCTCAACAAGGAACGGTAACTCAATTTCTCTAGTTTCTATTGGTCGAAAAGGTGACATGGTATGAACGAAAAACATAAAAATCTTGTTTTTTCAGTATGATTTTGGTGGTGGACGCGATCTAGTAAGATTTTTAAAAGAAGTACAAGCACAAGGATTATACGCTTGCCTAAGAATTGGACCCTTCATTGAGGCAGAATGGAATTATGGGTAAGAACATGTGGAACATTCCTTTAAAAAATGATCATTTCTTAATCTTTGTCTTAACTTTCTAATGCAGTGGTCTACCATTTTGGCTACGAGATATTCCGGGAATTGTTTATCGGTCTGATAACGAACCATTCAAGGTATTGTCTTCTTTTTCTTTATTAAAATATTGATATCAAGTTGTTACGTCTTTATGGTCACCTCTTGGAATATGGAGCTTGCTGTTATTCAATTATTATAGACGGTAAATAGTAATATATATATATATATATATAGTAAATGACTATTTACCGTAAAAAAAAAATATAAATATATATGTTAGATATATAGAGTAGATGATTATACGTATTAACAAAGTTATATATAGTAAACTGAAAATGCTTTCAATACGTAATTTCTCTATTATTATAGATGACTGAAGTCATGAATATAAACTTTTAGCGAATATTCTTCATTACATTTTCTCTCTCTTGTTTTTTATGTTCATGTAGATTGAGTGTATGTGTTGTTGTACGATCCTAATGTTATGTCCCACATTAGTTGGGGGTGGAAACCACCATTTATAAGGGTGTGGAAACTTTCTCCTAGCAAACGTTCAAGGCAAGCCCAAAAAAGACAATATCTGCTAGCAGTGGATCTAGACCATTACATAGCCCACAATCGAAATATGTCGAAACAAACAACTTAACCACTTATGTTTTTCAATTCTTAGCACACATGTAATGAATATTAGTGCAAGAGAAAACACTAACTACTTAGACTTTCTTCTCAAGTTAAGAACCACTATCAATTTTTCGAATTAAAGTACTGAACCATTAAGTCAACAGGTTCGCATGCAAAACTTCACCACGAAGATAGTGAGCATGATGAAGTTGGAAGGCTTATATGCTTCACAGGGAGGGCCTATTATACTTTCACAGGTTCGAACCCAGTGGGCAACACCACCAATGAACCTTTTTTTTTTATATTCTTTTTTCATGTCACTTCTTTAAGAAAACTCATCAATGGAATTGCAGATTGAGAATGAATACTCGATGGTGGAGAAATTCTTTAATGAGAAAGGACCTCCTTATGTTAAATGGGCTGCAAACATGGCGGTTAGCCTCCAGACTGGTGTGCCATGGATCATGTGCAAGCAAAACGATGCACCTGACCCTACGGTATATACGTAAACATAATCATATGACTTATATTCTCCTTTCTATTTCTATTTTACTTATTCAATTGATAGATAAATACGTGCAATGGGTTCAAATGTGGAGAAACATTCACTGGACCGAACTCGCCTAATAAGCCATCTATTTGGACCGAGAACTGGACTACCTAGTATGTCTTGACCTTGTATTGTATCCAAATATTTTGCATATCATGAAAACCAGATTGATATTAATTTTTTATGAGTGTTGGGTTACAGCTATCAAGTTTATGGAGGCGAACCGTACGTAAGATCGGCAGAGGATATTGCATTTCATGTAGCCCTTTTCATTGCCGGAAAGAATGGGGCTTTTGTCAATTATTATATGGTATTTTAATATAAATCTCTCTCAATTTTTTATTTGTTGTTATGAACTGTGATTATTTTAAACCAAAAACCATGGTTCACTTTCTCTCAGTATCATGGAGGAACCAATTTTGGAAGATCCGGTGGTGCATATATAATTACAGGCTACTATGATCAAGCTCCTTTGGATGAATATGGTGTGACGTTTTTTAATATTGTATGTTTAATAAATTAACTCATACTATTCGTATTTTTGCATCAACTGGAAACTTGTGCAGGTTTAATTAGGGAACCAAAATGGAGTCATCTTAAGGAATTACATGCTGCAGTTAAGCTATGCAGCAAACCCTTGCTTTATGGAACAAAATCCAACATCTCACTCGGCATTCGACAAGACGTAAGTTTATGCTGCCAACAACATTATTTTGCAAATTATAGACCTGTTTACTTGTAACCATCCAAACACACCACTGGCAGATATTGTTCTCTACCGACTTTCCCTTACGGGTTTTCCCTCAAGGTTTTTTAAACGCGGGGTAGGTAGAGATTTCTAGACCCATATTGGAATGTTACGTTCTCCGGTCACCAATGTTGGATCACACAATCCACCTCCCTTGGACCACTCAAACACACCACTAGTAGATATTATCCTCTTCAGGCTTTCCCTCAAGGTTTTTAAACGTGTTTGTTACGGAGAGATTTCTATACCCATGTTAGGAATGTTTCGTTCTACTATCACTAATGTGGGATCTCACAATCCACCTCGCTTGAAGACCCAATGTCCTCGCTGACACATTGCCTAGTGTTTAGATCTTATACCATTTGTTCCAACGCTAGCAACTATTGTCATCTCCGGCCTTTTCCTTGTAGGATTCCTCTCAAGGTTTGTAAAACGTGTTTTCGTTGCTAGCGAGAGGTTTCCACACCCATATAAGAAATGTTTCGTTCTCTTATCCAACCAATATGGGATCTCTCAATCCACCTCCCTTAGAAGTCAGTGTCCTCGCTGGCACATAGCCTAGTGTGTGGTTCTTATACCATCTATAACTGATATTGTCCTATTCGGGCTTTCCCTTCCAGACTTCCCCTCAAGGTTTTTAAAACGCGTCTGTCAAAGAGGGATTTCTACACCCATATAAAGAATGATTAGCTCTTGTATCCAACCAAGGTGGGATCTCACAATCCACCTCCCTTGGAGCCCCAACGTCTTCGCTAGCTGGCTCTTATACCATTTGTAACCGCTCAAGCCCACCGCTAGTAGATATTGTTCTCTTCCACGTTTTCCTTCTAGACTTCCCCTCAATATTTTTAAAACGCGTATGTTAGGAAGAGGTTTCTACACATATATAAGGAACGTGACGTGAGATCTCATATTACTCATCCATCTCTTTTGGCAGGCCTTTGTGTTCAAAACTAAGTCTAGAGAATGTGCTGCCTTTTTGGTGAATAGAGGAGTTAAGGACGTGAGTGTTCTGTTTCAAAACGTTACATACGAGTTACCTTCATATTCCATCAGCATCTTACCAGATTGCAAAACTGTGGCCTTCAACACCAAAAGGGTAAGCCTTAAACCAACCGCTTGTTTCTCTTATTCCTCATTAATTTTAACCCTTGAAATACTATTCATCAGGCAAGCGTACAATACAATACAAGAACAATGAAGGCCGTACAAAAGTTTGATTCGCCTGAAAAATGGCAAGAGTTCAACGAACCGATACCTAGCTTTGATCAAACCACGTTAAGAGAAAACAAGTTATTAGAGCAAACGGGTATCACCAAAGACAGCACAGATTATCTTTGGTACACTATGAGGTAAATTATAAGTGGAAATTCTACCGCTCATAATCAAGCTATTCTTGAACACAGCTGAAAACATTTGTACTTTTTATTAACACCCATTGATAGACAAATGGGCTCATATAATTATTGGGTTTGACCTTCACCTGCAGGGTTGAACAGGATTCTCCTGACTCTCAACAAACACTTGAAGTGGGTTCTCGAGCTCATGTTCTGCATGCATTCGTCAATGGAGTTCATGCAGGCGAGTCTTATCTTTACTTTTATGTTGAAACTCGGAGAAACCGTATTACTGAGCATTTATCTATTAATGTTTTACAGGCTCCGCCCATGGAGCTAAAAATGAATCGAACTTCTATCTGAATAATAATATTACATTGAGACATGGAACCAACAACATCTCATTGCTTAGTGTAACGGTCGGGTTATCGGTACGGATATTTTATCTTTCCTTCCATAGTTTGATGCATTTTATACCATTTGAGCCAGTTCTCACAGCTTCTATGTGAAGGGTTCTGGAGCATATCTTGAAAGAAGAGTTCTTGGACTGCGAAGAGTGAAAATTGGAGGCAAAGATTACTCTATGCAACCTTGGGGATACAAGGTCCTTCAATTTTCTAATCTCCTAATACCAACATAAATATAAACTTAAAGCTAACCTTTTTTTAACAATGTGTCGAAAGGTTGGCCTATCGGGAGAGAACTCGCAAATATTTTTAGGCTCGGGGTCAAATGATACTCGATGGAGCAAGTTAGATAACTCGTCTCAGCCCCTCACATGGTATAAGGTATTAACCCATAAACAATTTGTAACTGTCCATTCCACCATTAGCAGATATTGTCCTCCTCGGAAATAGACGAAGAGAAGGACATTTTTACAAAAGTGTGGAAACGCAGACATATTTTAAAAAATTTGAGGAAAGTTCAAATATGACAATATTTAGGGGTGGTGAGCTAGTTTTTCTTGTTTCACCATTTTAAATTCATTGCTAATTGACAGACACGGTTCGATGCACCTTCGGGCGGTGACCCTATCGCCCTGAACCTTGGTTCCATGGGGAAAGGTGCAGTTTGGGTTAATGGTTGGGGCATTGGCCGGTACTGGGTCTCCTTCCTCACCGGAAAAGGGGAGCCTTCACAGAAATGGTACACAGTTTATTAAGACTTTAGTCTCTGGTGTTACTATATCATATCTTAATACAATTATTTGTGTTGTTTTAATACAGGTATCATGTACCACGTTCCTTCCTCAAGCCAACCGGAAACCTGTTGGTTATCTTTGAAGAAGAAACAGGAAACCCGGTCGGGATCACTCTCGATGTTGTTTCCATTACTAAAACTTCGTTGGTCGATGCTCAATGCACGTAGTGATGGAAGAAGACTTTACTATCGTATTAATGTTAATAATGACAGACCTTCACAATAATATGATATTGTTCACTTTGAACATAAACTATCAGTAAAGTCTATGATCTACTCCTTGATTAGCCAATGTAAGACTCATTTCTCAACAATCCTCCCATCGAATAATATACACTTAGAACCTTCTCTGAGGCTTATAGAACCTTCAAACAACCTCTCGTTAATCGAGGCTCGACTCCTTCTCTATAGCCCTCAAACAAAGTACACCATTTGTACAGCACTTGAATCACTTATGACAACACTATTGAGGCTCGGGAAATAACTAAATTAAGGGCATGACTCTGATATCATATTAGGAATCACCACTTCGAAAAATAATAAACCAAGATTCGATAACAATGAAAATAAAACCGACGATTTATTATTTTTGTTACTTTAATTATACATTATCAGAAGATTCGGGGATTACATGGCACATCTGACACGTAAGTCAAAATTCTGCATGGTAGCCTGTTGCTAAACAAGCAGAAGTAACCAAAAAGAAAAAACATTAATGGGCCAGGGGAATAAAGCCCATTAGCCCGAACTCACACACAGGCCCAGGCTCGCAACAGCCCATTTGGGCCGGACAATGACAACAAGGCTTTTACTCTGGAAGTGGAATATGGGCCAAATCGTCTCTAAAAGGAACCGGGGCGACGTCACCAGGCCCAAAAGAATTATGCAGCCCACTTTCCAAATGGGCTTGGGCCATCGGGTCGGGCTTTTGGGGCTCAATGTAAGTCACAACCCTATCCTTTCGGAACGTTAAGTAAATAACAGCAAGAATATAAACGGCCATCAAAGGAAATACAACGATCCCAATGAATACATTAGCAACTTTGGGTAAATTGTTGTCGATAAGCCAGCCCACGAAGCCCGTACTGAGATAATAGATATTGATGCCGATGATTGATAGGCCCAATATCCATGAGATTACAATGATCTGAAAAAAGCCCAAATAAAATTAAACGTGTTAATGGGCCGGCCCAATAGTTGTAATTTGGGCCGAGGGAATGAAAAGGGAGAATGTTGCTTACGTATATGGAATTCTTGTGGGGGCCCATCTTGGTGGTGCTGCTACTGAATTTGAGAAGCGGAATTAGAGCGAATGGAAGCTCGAAGGAAAGGATCATCTGTGAAATTACGCAATTACCCATTACTTTCTTTTTTTTATTATTAAATTTTTATTATTATTTTTTTTTTTAATACAAACCGATGCGATAATGATGAGACGTCCAGCTCCTTGAGGTCCACCGATAATGGCGACAATGAGACTGGGCGTAATGGCAATGGATCTGGTCATAAGGTTCCTCATCCATGTTTTCATTTTCAGGTCCAAAAATCCCTAAAAAAACAAAATTATATTTTAATTTCCTAAAATTAAATTTTAATTAAGAATTTCCATTTAATAAAATACCTGCATGATGAACTGTCCGGCGTAAGTGCCGGTGATGCTGGAGCTTTGTCCGGAGGCAAGCAAGGCTATGGCGTAAATGGTGGAGCTCGATTTTCCCAGCACATTCTGAAGAAAAAAAATTAGAAAAATTGATCAAAACGGTGCCGTATTAAGCATAATGGATAATCGGCGACGGCGGCGGACCTGGAGGAGGAAGGAGGCGGAGTTGAGGGTGATGTCGGAGCACTGATCGGCGGTGGATTCAGAGACATGGCCGACCGTACAGACGGTGCCAGAAACTGAAACGACGGCCATGTTTATTAAAAAGGATATGAACAATGCGAAACCGCTCTCTATTAGGAAATACCGGCACGCGTCCTGCAGCATCCAAACCCATTTTTATTTAATAATTTTATTTTTTTTAATTTTCAGTTTATCGTTAATAAAATATGATTAATATATCACAATTAACATTAGTTAGAAAAATGCCCATCTATTCGAGAGTAAAATGAAACACTTGGTGTAGAAACTTCTCCTTAGTAGATGTATTTTAAGGACCTTGAGAGAAAGCCCGAAAAGTCTAAAGAAGACAATATAAGTTAACGGTGGGTTTGGGCTGCTACAAATGGTATTAGAGTAAGAAATCGGACAATATGCTAGCAAGGAGGCTAGATCTCGAAAGGGGTGGATTGTGAGATCTCTCGTGGATAGGAGAATGAAATATTATTTATAAAAGTGTGAAACCCTCTCCCTATACACGTTTAATAAGTTTTAAGGGGAACCTGGAAAGGGAAAATCTAAAAAAATAATATCTGCTAGCAGTGGAGACCCAAGAGGAAAAAATAAATTAAAATCTTTTAAAATAAAATTAAAAATTAGAAAAATTAGAAAAAGAAACTTTTGGATAACAAAAATGATGCACACATAGTTAGTAATAAGGGTGTACATTTAACCCGACAACCTGGACCAACCCAATCTGAGGGTTGGGTTGGGTTGATTTTTCTGGACCCGAAGTTGAGGAGCTAAATTATTTATTATTTATTATTTATGGTTAAAATGGAGAATTACATTTTATTTTATTTTATTTATAATAGGCATAATAATAAAAATAAAAGCAATGGGGAAGGGTCACATACGTTGATACCACGGACAGAATTTGGCACTTTCCTTGACAGCACGAGAGCCGAATGAAGAAACAGATTGTGCCTGCTCCACAGAGTATAATAAATTAACAACTACCAACTTCCGACATGTCGGTTCATCTTATAAATATTTATAATATTTAAAAGAATCGTACGGCATAACCAGAGCGCCGAGGAGAGCAATGGCGTCGCCGGTGGCACCCTGCCCATTCAATTTCGGTACAAACATTCCTTTCAAAACTCCGGTCGCCGGCGGCTTAACGTAGCTCATTTCCCCGAAGAAACACGCCGCCATTACAAACACCAAAATCGCTATCAGCAATTCCAGCTTCCTCACCTGCAAATAATAGAAAGTTTAGGGGCCAAATTACAATAAACATAAAAATTAGGACTATAAGACAATTAAAATATTAAATAATTTACCCCGTATCTCTGGAGCCCTATGAGCAAGAGGGTGCTTAAACCGGTGAGAAGAACTCCAGCCCAAACCGGAATATGGAATAGAATATTCAGGGCAAAGGCCGTTCCTATCACTGCAACCAAACAAAAAATAAAGAAATATAAAATTAATTTATTTAACTTGTAAATTAATAATAATAAATAAATAATAAAATAATAATTGCCTTCTGGAATATCGGCGGCTATTACAGCGACTTCAGCCAGCAGCCAAAGGCAGTACTTCACAAATTTTGGATATTCGGCTTTACACACTTCTGAAAGGTGTTTTCCTATAAACAAGAAAATAGGAATTAATGTTAATTAATTAAATAATTGAATAATAATAAATATTTGCTTGGTCGACTAATTTTCTTAATTAAACCTTAATTATTTTAGGTTAAATTAATTATGTTAAATTATTTAATTATCTAAAAGTCTCACGGATTAAATACTCTCTAGTGTGAGACATTCTAAGAAAGTTTACAGCAAGACCATGAGAACTTATATTTAAAGTAGACAATATTATATCATTGTACATACCGGTGCTTACGCCAAGATTTGCAGCAAGGGATTGAATTATGAGCGCAAATATTAATCCGATAAGCACCACCCACAAAAGCTGCCTCCCATTCAACAATAACATTTTATAAATAGTTAAAAAAATATATATATATATATAATAACTAATCCACTAATATATATATTACCTCGAATCCGTGATTTGCCCCAGCCTGCAAGTCGGTTTCCACTGAAAATTAAACAAACAAATATTTTATTTTTCTTTAAAAAAGATAATATCAATAAAATATTTTTTTATATATATTCTATTATTCCCGATATTATGTTTAATAAAATAAAAATTAAATTATTCAGTTACCAGTGTTAAACAAGACTCTCGACAGTGACGTGATATTGTCAGCTCTAAATATAAGTTTTACTCTGGACTTACCCAAAATGGCTCGTATGAATGGAGATAGTATTCATCGATTATAAATTCAATCATTCTCTAAATTTGTCGATGTGGGACGTTTATCATCCAACAAGATGGGGAAGGAGAAGCTTACAGTTGCCAGGATCAAGGTAAGCCAATGACACGAGGAAACCAGGGCCAACGTGTGAAAGAAACTTTCTCCATCCAGGTTTCTGAATCATCAACATTAACATAAACTCAAATTTTTTAAATTAAAAAAAAATTATATATATATATAGATTTCTTTTGGCTTAGAGGGGGACCTGATCGGTGGTGGTTGGTTCTTCTCGGTGATTTTGTGTTTTCACGGCGTCGGCCGGAATCGTAGTTGTCTCCGCCGTGTTCACCGCCGCTATGCGATTGCTGCCGCCGCCAAAGGACGGTGTCGCCACCGTACTCATCTGTGCTTCCTTCTGTTGACTACTTGCCATTTCTTCTCTATCGCTCTCTTTAATGTCGTTGCGGACTTCGACGATCTAACAGAATTAGCAGTACACGTATATATACAGTGGCTGACTGTGCATAACGCCAGCTTAGTCTGCCGTCCACAATGTATTATATTCAGATCCACGTGTCATTAACATTTTCTCCTATCCGAGTTTAAAATTAACGCTGCAGTTTTTTTTTTTTTTTTTTTTTTTTTTTTTTTTTTTTTTTTTTTT